TCAATGGGGAAAGTCAATGCAGGAATTCAAGCAAGGCTTGGAGCTGAAGGCAGGAGCTGATTCAGAGGCCATGGAGGAATGCTGCTTACTGGCTTGCTCTCCATGGCTTGCTCAACCTGCTTTCTTACAGAACCCAGGACTACCAGCCTAGGGGTGGCACCACCCACCATAGGCTGGGCCCTCTTCCATCAATCACTAATTAAGAAAATGCCCTATAGCTGGATCTTATGGAGGCATTTTCTAATTGAGGTTCCTTCCTTTCAGATGACTCTAAGTTGTATTATGTTGACATGAAACTAGCCTACTGTACATGAATAGTTCATTTCCGTCTCTGGGCTTACTCCAGAAGGTGGCTCCTAGAGCTAGGGGTGTCTCCAAAGAAACATACTAGATAATTCAGAGGAAGAGGACATCCAAAAGTGCCTTTCCAATGACTATATGAAAATCAAGTAATGTGTTATCCTGATATTAAAGAGTGAAGTGGTGGCCATACTCTTGGCAGGTGCCCTGTGACCCTTGCAGAAATCACAGTGGAGGATGGAGCAACTGTGTAGGCTGTCCGTTGTGAGGAACACACTGTTTATTTCAGGCACTGTGTTGGGGGTTGCTGGTGTTCTCTGACTGAGAATGTTTTGTCAGGGTGATGGGTGAGAGTCACCCCTATACACGTCAGCATCCCAGGGAGGTGCCAGGTTAGGATGTCAAATGTTTCGTTTTGTTCTTTTTCCAAATTACAAGCATACCAGCTCTGACCTCCTTGGAAATGCTTCATCACGGTTGATAGATGTGCCTGGTCAATGAATTCTAAAATGTAACACACATGAGGAAGGGAACACCTTTGGATGACGTGCTGAGAGCACATTTTGGGAACAGTTCAGTATGTTTCTCATGTGACCTTGTTGACAAGAATAATGTGTGTCATCCAGTAAGCTATTTTTTTAAAATCTCAGTTTTCTGTTTAGAAAATCTTGCAGAATTTCAGTGGATTTTCATTTCATTAAAAATATAACAATTCTGCCTGCTTCATAAAAAAATAACTGCTTCAGGTAGGTTGGACGTTTATCAGTCAAATCTCAGCAACAAAAACCTTTTGATCAGTGTGTGGAGTAAGATACATTTGAATGTAGGAAGGACAAAGACTCTAGCAGTTCCTAAACCTAGATACTGCTATAAGCAGAACCCAGAATAAAATCTTTTAAATCAGTGTGCTAAATCAGGACTAATTTTCATTTTAGTGCTATTTTTTTTTAAATCCTGTTTTTAGTCTTTGGAAGTTTCATATGCTTGCATAAAATATATTAATCATAACTACAAAAGGAAGTTTAGATTCCTTTTAAGAGCATATATTATACTTTTGTGTGGGGCTGGGTATAGTGGTGTACACCTTTAATCCCAGTTCTTGGGAGTCAGTGGCAGGAGGATCTCTCTGAGTTCGAGGCCATCCTGGTCTACATTGTGAGCTCTAGGTCAGCCAGAACTATAGAGAAAGACTGTCTCATAAACAAAACAACTAGTATCTCTCTTCTCTCCCATCTCCTATCCTTGGTGTTTCTCCATCTCCTTTCATGTTCTACTGTCACCTGTAATTGAACTTTTCCCTTGGGTTGCAGGATTGTAAGTTTCTATATAGCTCATTCTCTCACCATTTATTTTGGCTAAACCCCCTGCCAACACTTCATTTCCCCATCTCTTTACCCACCTCCATGCTTGACTCTTTCCACCTCCAGTGTGCCCTGCTGTTTTCATTTTACCTGCATTTTACCATCCCCACTCCCTTAAGGCATTCACTCCAGAAGTTAGAGATTATTCAAGCATTTTATTTTTAAGCAAAGAATATTCAATTCATTTTTTTAAATTAAGCATTACTGATAGTAACAATAATTGCTTTGGAGAGGATAAATAATGTTATGCCATTTATACAAGCAAGCTATTTATTTTTAAAATATATTTTTCCATCTTAGTTCTACCCTGTAAAGGCTTTCCTTTGGCGTTCACTAATACACAGCATGTTAAATATAATTAGTAATACATTTCCTATGGAGAAGAGGGTGTTTGCAATGTTCTGTTGACAGGAACGGGGGATGAAAAGACAGAGGCCGGAAGTCAGAGGCCATTGACCTTTGAGAGAGACCCAGAGCAAGTCACAGACTCAGTCATGGGACACTCATTGCCAGAGGGCCACCCCGACAGTGGCTCAGGGCAAAAGCATGCCCAGTCCCCTTGTGTTGTTTTTCTTTCCAGCAGAGGTCATGGACTCTGAGCCCCCTTCAGATTGCCAGTGGTCATGTCCTGTTTTCAGAGTGGGTTTCAGCCTGTCTGGCTGGTGGTGGCCAGTGTCAGATCTGGTTTGACCTAGAGTCTGGGGCCCATGGGGTATCTTTCTTGTGTTTCCATGCACTGCAGTCTACCCCTTTCTATTGGGTTATGTTAATTCATTGATCTCATTTAAAAACAAAAAACAAAACGAAAAAGAAAAAAACATCACTTAGGGCCCACTCTACTTGCCTTGGACTTTCACACTGTGGTGGCTGTGTCCTCACCACAACTCTTTGGTTCGAACCTTCCTCACATAGCTCCTTAGAATCTATACTTCTTGGTTTGACTGGTGGTATCATGCAAGAAAATCTAGCAGCACGTAACTGGTAAAGTCAACTCTAGGGAGGGTAGAGTAGCCTTCCCCAAAGCAAATACAGCTCTAGGAACAGTGGTTCTAAAAGTGCATGAAAAGATGCTGTAGCACAGAGATGTGCTTGTCCTGCCCTGTACATCACTAACCACCACATGGGATTGGCCCATGGATGGCTATAGTAGGCCTCAAGCATCAAAGGCCCTGTGGTGGCATTTCTTCTTAGCTCTGTAGAGCCATAGTTCATGGTAAGTTGGCTATGACTGGCTGTGCTTCTGGTAGTTTGAAGGAAAATGGTCCCCAAATGGAGTGGCACTATTAGGAGGTGTGTCCTTAGGAGGTATTAGAGGAAGTGTATCAATGCGGGGGGTGGGCTTTGAAGTCTCTTTTTCTTAAGCTTCACTCAGTCTGACTGTCAATCAACTTCCTCTTGCCTCTGAGTCAAAATGTAGCATTCTCAGCTCCAATATCATCTCTACCTGTATGCTGCCATGCTCCCTTTCATAACATAATGGACTGAACCTCTGAAATTCTAAGTGAGCCACACTCTCAATTAAATGTTTTCTTTCATAAGAGTTGCTGTGGTCATGGTGTCTCTTCACAGCAATAGTAAACCCTAAGAGACTGCTCCTGCCAGCCCCCTATGCAGTCCTTAGTTCTTCATTCCCTGCTTCTGGTTCAGAGAATATGCATTCACTGGGATGAGCTGGATCCACCCCAGCCTGGTTCTCATAGCATTCTTGTAGTGCCAGCAGGATATGGGTTCTTATGGAGGCAACAGAAGTTCTTGGTGGGTGGTGTCCTGGGGAGGTTTCAGCCACCTGGTCCTGAGTCTTCTGGATAAGGCTTACCTGGGGCTGGTGCAGTCTAGAGTGGGCGCATAGGTTCCGAAGAGGTGTTCAAGGGACAGGAACGGGATCTGGGGAGTAGACCCTGAAAATGGGAGAGCCATTATCAACCACTGAAAGTTACAATTCGGGGTGGAGAATCCTTCAACCCTGCATTAAGGCTCTGGTCCTGTGTCTGGTATGAAAGATGAAGAGTATTCATGTGGACCACCCATGCAGCTAGAGCCCTGCATGAGTAATTAGTGAGGTTGGAGTCTACCCCCTTCCAAGAGAATTTACTCTAGACACTTGGGGAACAAGGAAAAAGTCCTTTAATAGCATGAATCCCCTTCTGGCTATTTTAGACCCCCAGAAAACTCAGGTATCCGGGGTCCCAGGCCATGACTGCGGTCACCCCAATCACCAGGCAGATTCGAGAGCTTGATGTAAACTGCACGAGGCTTTGTTGTAATTTAACGAGCTAATCCCATGTTAGCTCGGGTCTTTCACCCACCCACCATGGCGGATGGCTAGCAAAAGACAACTCCTAGGGCCTCCCAAGAGATCTTATAGGACAGTGTAAGGGGAGTGTCTAGGGGTACTAACAGGCTCACGATTGGGGTGCCTCCAGGCTTGGAGGGCTTGCCCTGTGTTGATTGGCCAACTGGTTGTTATGGCCCATAGGCCCTCCCAGGGTGGTTGCTATGATTTGTGCATCATTGCTGGGCACTTGTCCGTAAAGCACCCCCAGGGTTGTAAAGCATAGCGCCACCAGCTAACTTCTGATTGGTTCCTTGTCACAAGGCAGGCATCTGACTTTCTAGTGACTAAATAACTTCTAATTGGCTCCTTGTCACAAGGCCAGCTTCTGACCTCTAAGTGACCAAGGCAAGTTATGGCAAGCACATGTTCGGCTGTTATGGCTGCCGAAAGGGAAGCTGGTCCCTTCAACTAACACACAAAGAGAAACCAGCCATGAACGGAAACTTAACATAAGGTTTATATAGGTCACAGGCTTCAATATTCCACATAGAAAGCTACACTTTGAGCAACTAAACAGAGACAGAAAACTTCAAGTCTGGCCAGTTAGGACAAGTTGGAGATTTTTACACAATGATATTGTCACAGTTACTTTTAATGTAGATCAACATTGTTCTTTTCCAGTAGTTGTTACCTGGATCGTCCCATCTGACAGAACTGTGTTCTTCTTGGTGAGAACCAAGATAGAGGCATGTTCTTTGATGGAAATAGGGCCTAATTGGTGGCAATCCTGGTGAACAGATCTTAGCAGGAGCATATTCCCAGCAAGCCTCTCCTGTGGTTCCTAACAAGCCTGTTTTAGTGTGCTGCTTATCTTCTGGGTAAATTAGAGACAGTGCTCCTTCAGCTAAACTCCACTTTGTGTAACTTAATATTTCCTAAGCAAGCTTAGTGGTGAGCCGATTATCACATCATTTGATCACCCCCAGTCTTTCCTATATCAAGGTGTCGTGGTGGGAGGGTGAGGGCAGCGTGCATGGTTGTGATTCATGACGCGTGCCCTCCAGGCGGAAGAGGAGCGGGATGACATGGAGAGAGTGAAGCTGGACAACAAGAGGATCCTCTTCAACCTCCTGCCAGCCCATGTGGCACAGCACTTCCTCATGTCCAATCCCCGGAACATGGTGAGTGTAAGGGACTCCTGCTGGGTGACAGGACTTCCTGGTGTGCAGCTGGAGTGCCAGCTCAGCATGGCCCACTCTGCTTCATCTGCAACTGGGGGCCTCTGTGACCTTCAGAAATCCCTGATTTAGTTGCTTAGCTCCCTGCCTGGTCTTCCTGCCAGTCTCCCAGAAATGGGTAAGTTCTTGGCCACCAGGGAACTCTGGGGACTCTAGGTTGACAGGTGTGCATTTTTTTCACTTACTTTGGCTTTGATCATGGCCTGGGTGTTAATATTCATAACACACAAGAGGAGGAGCGTGGGCTTTAACGAACTAAATTTAGAGAGGAAACCCTCTTTTTCAAATTTGGATGTTTCCAATAGCTTCCCTCATTTGGGGACAATGTGAACAGAAAAAGCAGAACACGCTTATGTGTAACTATCTGTCACGTCTGCTTGAAACACGTGGAGATTTTCTTTCCCTCCTCTGCATGGAATGTTTGGTCAGAGCTCCTCACAGCCTTGCCTGCTGTAGTTCCTGCACGAGGGAGATGCTTACAAAGGCCAAGTTCAAAAGTAAAGAAATCCAGGGTGGCTTTTAAGGTCCTAGGGGCAGGAGCAACCTGGAGGTTCAGCCTTAATCTGCCCGGCCGGAAGCAGCTGCTGGTGTATCTGTGCACTCAGCTGAGGTTTAGAGCCATAGAATGTGTGGCTCTCAGTGATCCCCCTTCCCTCGATTCCCTCACCTCATTAGGCCCAAGGATAAAACTGACCACCCAGGATTTGCCCATGCAGTGCAGTGCACCATCTGGAGCCCCCAGTGTTTCTCCCTTCTCTCTAGAACCAACTGGGGTCCTATGGCCTGCCTCGCCCCCCTTCCAAATGCTGTTCCTATTGGTTAGCCATACCTGGCGTGGCATGGTGGAGCTGACCCCGTTTGTCTTTGCAGGACCTCTATTACCAGTCCTACTCCCAGGTGGGCGTCATGTTTGCCTCCATCCCCAACTTCAATGACTTCTACATCGAGCTGGATGGCAACAACATGGGGGTTGAGTGTCTGCGACTCCTCAATGAGATCATTGCTGACTTCGATGAGGTGAGTGAGGCCTTGCAACAGCATCTACTTGCAGGGTAGCAAATCCTGCTTGTGTCCACTGTGTCTCCATTAGGGTCCAGGGCAGCTGTGACAGTTGAGACAGAGCATAATGACTCTAAGGTAGGGACCAGGGCCGGGCAGCTCCCACTCCAGGTGTGCAGGTTGGAACCTCTAGGCCCTTCCCAGACCAGGCACTGTGCCTGCCCCAGCACTGGGGATTCTCTTCTCCACAGTGACTGTGGGCTTGGCTTCAGGGACATGGATGTGTCCTATGCTGTACCTCCATGGTGCCTCTTTCATACATACAGCCAGATACAAAAACAGACCAGAGGAACTGCTGTGCACAATTAATGGCCTCCTCCTCCGTTGCCGCCTAGTGGGTGATGGCTATATGACATCGCTCCAGTGTTCTGTGATGTTTAACAGTTTTGTTTTTTAAACAAAGCTCATGGACAAGGACTTTTACAAGGACCTGGAGAAGATTAAGACCATTGGTAGTACCTATATGGCTGCCGTGGGACTGGCACCCACAGCAGGAACCAGGGTAAGTAGTTCCCAGGCCACTTGCTCAGACTGGCTCTCTTGCAGATGTTTCTGGGACCCTGGGCAGGTCCCCATACTGGGGTTGGTTTCTCTGTGTTAGATTAGAGGAGAAGATCCTTGGCTATCTTGCCATTGGCTAGTTCCCTCTAGATACCCAACCTTAAGAAATCCCTCAAACTTTAGCCCTCCTCTCCAGCTACCTCCTTTTGCTCCCGGCCTTGGAATGCTGAAAATTGTGAAATTGTGGAATTGTGTGGAATTGTGAAAATGAATGAGTCTGCAGCTACTAAAGAGATTAATCCAGTAATAAACAGTCTCCCAGATCAGGAGTCAGCAGGTTATTTGGCCCAACATTTAAGAAATGAAGGATGCCAGTCACCTCTAGCCTCTTTCAGAAGACAGAAGCAGAGGGAAGGCTTCCCAACACTCATCCCAGGTCATACCCTCATACCAAAGCTACACAAAGACATCACAAGAAAGGAAAACCACAGATCGGTATTTATTCCTCATAAATGTAAAAGCATAAATTCCTTATCAAACATTAGCAAAGTGAATCAAATAGTAAGTAAAATGAATGCTACATGAGGGCCATGGATTTATTCCAGGTATATAAGACTGGTTTAACATTCCAGAAGTGAATGTCTAAAATTTGCCCTATCAACATATGATCTTAGAAACTGATGCAAAAAAAATCCGTTTAATAATTATTAAACTCAGGGAAAAAAAAAAGGAAAATTCTAGCTGGACAAAGAACATACATAAAACCCTACAGCTTAACATTATATAGGATGGAGAAAAGCTCCCCAGCCCAAGATTAGGAGCCTTGCAAGGATATCCCTTCTCCTAGCATTGATATTAGTACTATCATTAATTATTAAAGTTGAGATTTTGCTAACTAGTCTAGTCCTGACTTGAACCACTATGTAGCCCAAGTCAGCAAAGAATCCCAATCCTCTTTGCACCAGCTTCTGACTTCCAGGATTTTAATGTGCGCCACCATACCCAACTATCCCACCACTAATATTTAGCAGCATTCTAGAAGTCCTAAATGAGGTCATAAGACAAGAAAAGGAGATAAAGCACATATGGACTTGGAAGGAAGAAAGAAAATTATTTTTGTTTGCAAATGACATGATTTTATATATATAGATTACCTGAAAGAACCCCTGTTGGGTGGCGTAGGGGATGGATGAATGACACTTGGTAACTAATGAACCCATAAATGGGCATAGGAAGGTTGCAGGATACAGGGAGGGGTCATATGAAAAAATCAGTCCTGTGTAGTAGAAATGGACATTTGGTATTTGAAATTACAAACATGACTCCATTTATATTAGCATTAAAATATAATACTGGGTACAAATATAACATGGTATGTACAAGATCTTTATAAGGAAAACTGTTCTGCCTTCCTGCATGGGAAGGATGACTGCTGTCAAGATATCAGTGCTTATAAATTTGATCAATGGAATTAATTCAGTCTCAATCAAAACTGTATCAGGATAGTTCATAACATTGAAAAACTGAACTTTATACTGAGAAACAAAGGACCCAGAAGAGTCAAGACAATGTTGGAGAAATAACTAGAAAGCTACAGCAGGCATGACAGTGTCCTGAGGGATATTTCAAATTGATCAGTGAAACAGGATAGAGTGCCCAGAAAGAGACACATACAATCTGTGGTCAGCTAATTTCTACTTTTAATATAATAATTGCATATTCACATGCAAAACTACAACTAAGATAAAGATGTTCTACTTTTCATAAGATTAATTTGAGTCAACCTAAATGTAAAAACCTTTTAAAAAATCTATAAAAATTTCTGGACAACAGAATGGGAGAAAATCTAGATGGTCTTGAATTTGGGATGGTTCTTTTTATATATAACAGCCAAAGCATGGCCCTGGAAGAGAATATCAGTAATTTGGACTTCATTAAATGAAAAGCCCCTACTCTGTAAGCAGTGTTGTTGAGAATGACCAGTCACTTTGCAGGCTGGGAGATTTGCAAGGCACCTATCTGATAAAGGACTTATATTTAAAATTGAAATAAAAACCCTAAGATTGAGAAATAAAAATGCCAACCTAGTTAAAAAGTGGGCAAAGTGGAGAGGTGTCTCATCAATGAAGATCCACAGAGACAGGGGAGCACGTGTAAAGACGGCCCATGTCCTGAGTCCTAGGGAGGAGGTCAAAACACTGGCATAGAACTACACTGACCTATTAGAACAGCCACAATCCAGAACACTGATACTGCCAAGTGCTGGTAAGGATGAGGGGCAGCAGGAACTCTTGTTCCTTACTGGTAGAAATGCAAAATATTCTAGCCACTGTGGAGACAGTTTGGCAGCTTCTTAAAAGCCAATTAGACCGTTACCACTGCCCATACACACTCACAGTTACAGTCCTTGGTACTTTTAAAATGAGTCGCAAGCTCACAGCCACACCAACACCTGTACATAGTCATGGCAGCTTTACCTATAATCACTAAAAAAAACTGAAAGCAAACAAAATTCCCTTCATTAAGAGAATAGGTAAAGAATGGCTCAGCAGAACACAGAGGAAGCCATTGGGTGACGCTGTACTGGGGGAGGCATGGCATTATACTTCATCAAAGCTGCAGAATATACAATATCAAGGGTGAGCGCCAATGTTAACTGCAGCTGGAGGTTGGTGATAACATGTCAGTATTGGCTCGCTGACTGTAACAAAAGTGCTACTGGGATGCAAGAACTTAGTAGTAGTCAGTTGTACACAGAGGAGATCACTTCATGGAGACTCTATCGTCTGCTCTGTTGCATACAAATTAAAGTTCTTCAAAAAATAAAGCCTGTTCCGTGTTGTTTTAAGAACATTAGTTCCCTGATGTTGAGGACAGTAAGTCTGGATAAATACAAGTTAGAAACCTTCTGCCCATCACTGTTTTAGAAATGAAAGGACTTTGTTCCCCAGTTACATCCACACAGATGCAGCTTCAGTCTCTAAGAAGGGAGCTGTCGCGCCTCTATGACATATGTCCCTGGCAACATGTATTGACAGCACTGTCCAAGTAGGCATCTGGGCACCTGACTCCCCCGTCCCAGGAGCTGTTCCCTCTATCTCCACAGGGGCGTGGTCTGGAGTAGCATGGCTTTGGGTGGTTTCTGCCTGTGTCCCTCAGAAGCCATAGTTTGGGAAATACCCCAAGTTTTCAAACTGTAGAGTAAGAGGATTAATGTGTCCCCAGCCAGGCACCAAGAACACCTGCTGTTTCTAGGGTTGCTATGTTTTTAGGAGTTAAATCCCAGGGCCAGGACCTGTCAAGGTGGTCCCTGACCCCCTCCTGTTTGGGCACTCCACACACGACTTTTCTCTTTTCACATCTAGGCTAAGAAGTCAATCTCTTCCCACCTTTGCACATTAGCAGACTTTGCCATCGATATGTTTGAAGTCCTGGATGAAATCAACTACCAATCCTACAACGACTTTGTTCTCCGAGTTGGTAGGTGACTCTGGATTCATCCCTGTCACTGATGGAAGATGCTGGGAGCAGAGTCTGTGTAGGCCTGTGGTATCACAACAGATGGGTCTTGCTTGTCAGCAGCACATGGGGACAGCATTGACTCTGAAGGTGCCTTGTGGCAGTGCACTCCTGCAGACAGAAACTTAGGAGTAAGGATTTGTTATGCAGCTCAAGGGACACAGTGAGCCTCTTCACTCACTGATGCAGTTGTTCAGAGGCACCTCTGTGTTGTGCCCAGACGCTGAACCCCCAAAACCACCAAGAGACCAGATCTGATGCAAAAGCAAAAAGTCGTTTTAATTTATGAGTTAACTTGACTTAACTTGTGTCCTCCATCCATCCAACACAGCAGTGGGACAGGGCATATATTAGGGTAGAGCAAGAGGAGTGTCTGGGGGTTCACTGGTTGCATGCATACAGTCTCAGGATTGGTGCACCTCTGGGTTTGGGCAACCTGTCCTGAGTTGATTGGTCAGCTACAGCTACAGAAAGGTTGCTGTGCCTAGAGGCCATCCCAGGGCAATTGCTATACCCTGCATTCCACTATTATCAGTAAAGTACATCTAGAGCCTGCCAGATAACTTCTGATTGGTTTCTGGCCACATGGAGGATATCTGGAGGTTGCTTCCTAGTGATTAGGGCAAAGTCAGGGGACTCAGCACATGTTGCTGAGTCAGTGGCCTATGTCTTGCTGGTTCTTTTCTGCAGCCTATCATGGCTGACAAAGCAGGGTGCTGGGTGTGGGTCTGTGTCCTTCATTCTGCATCCTTGGTCACTTGGGGACAGTCTTCTTCATCACCACCCTGATGGACAGCTAAGGCATGCTGGTCCCTTTGAAAAGAAGTTTTGAAAGGAGGCCAGCAGCAGGGCCCAGGCAGCTCCTTCCTTGGCTGTGACTTGAGAGGGGAAGCTGGTTGATGCCCAGGACCTTTTCTTATGTTTACAAAACCCTATTAGAAAATACGCTTTGGGGGCTGGAGAGATGGCTCAGTGATTAAGAGCACTGGCTGTTTTTCCAGAGGTCCTGAGTTTACTTCCCAGAACCCACATGGTAACTCACAACCATCTGTAATGAGATCTGATGTCCTCTTCTGGCATAAAGTCATACATACAGACAGAGTACTTATATACATAAAATAAATCTTAAAAAAAAAACTAAAAAGAAAAAAGGAAGAAATTTAACTTTCACCTGAGATGTAGACTATCCCAAAAATTCTTATTCATCTAGAATCTAGTTGAGTTAGAGTTAGATGATTTGCCTTCTTCCCTCTCTATCTCTTCCTATCCTATACCTCCCATCTTCCTGTCTTAGTTGGAATACAGTTAACTGGAGGTTTATGGCCACCTTACAATGCAAATGTCCAGGAGCCTTAAAATGGCCCTTGTTTGTGCTTAGGTACAAGGGTGATGGGAGGTGATGGCTTCACAGCAGGTGGTGTGTCAGTGTCCCTAGAAGCAAGCTGTTTCAACATGGTGTTCCCTGAGGACAGGGGCAGAGCAGCCCTGACCTCTTTCCTAGTAACCAATCTCCTTCTGGGCCCCATGCTCTGATCAATGCAAGTGCTAATGTGATAAGGTACAGACTGGATATGTTGGAAATCCCTCTTCCCCTGCACCTGGCCCCTGTGTTGGTCCCACAGTGAAATTGGAGATAGTCCCTTATGGCTTTACTTCTCAGCTGATCAGCCCCTGCCCAGGTTCCCCTGCCTGGATATAGGTGGAGAGATTCACAAAGGTAGCTCCTAGAATCCTATCAGCTATTTGAGAAGTGGCCCTCAGGTGTCCTCCCTGGGTCACCCATGAGCCTCCAGAATTGTTTCTAATGCCTGTGACTTCAGAGGAAGTTCAGAAACATTGTTTCCCATGCCCAGATACATCAGACAGGCAGGAAGTGGCATCTGTGCAGACCAGGCAGCCCCATTTGTAGGGGTAGCTACCTGTAGGCCATCATGAGAGTGCAACAGATATCCCACTAAGGCCAGACCAGGAATGGATGACACAGGGAACTTACAGGCAAAGAAACCCACCCAGAGAGGGTAAGTACTTTGCCAAAGTTCTCACAAATGGTAACTCAGACTTGAGTGTACCTAGACAGGAGGGGATGCTGTGAAGCTGTGCAGGTCCTTGAGTCCAATGAGACCCTGCCCTGTGGAAGGATAGGGGGTTCATGCCCTCCTCTCTGGACATCTAAATTTGTACTTGGAGCTAGGACTCCCACTCTGAGCAATATCTTAGGAAGCTACTGCTACTTTGGAGGGCAGAGGAGGTGTACCTGGAGGTAAGGTGCACTGTGGTCATAAAGGCTATAGAGATAGACTTCCTGGTAGCTCCAGAGCATGTCTCTGCACAAGGGGCAAAGTGACAGTGATGCAGAAATATGCCCTTCTAGTGTGAATCCACTCCACACACTCTGGAAAAATAATGATTACACGTGTCCAGCTCTGGCTAATGCCCAAAGAAGAGCAAGTGATGAATGGAAGTTTTTCCCCTAACTTTATAGACTTTAGGCTTATGCAGTCTTTATGTGCTGTCATCCCTCAATCTCTTCCAGATCCTGGCCCCGGGTTACACTGAACAATTCAAACAGGAGATAGCAAGTCTGGCCACTTGGGCAGATGGGAGATTTACACAGCAAAGATACTGCTGGAATTCTTTTTTTGTTCTATTCTTTCAAATAGTCACCCTGGTTTATCTTGTCCACTTGGGGCAGAATTAGGCTTTTCCTGATAAGAGCATAGAGGATTTAATGGCAGACCAGGGCTTAATGGTGGTTGTGACTCCAGGCTCTGTACCCTTGAGCTGCCCTTAGAGGCTTGCTCTATGATATGGGGATGAGCCTAATTAGGTTTCTCTCCTTTTGTTATGGGGATGGAGCATAATTAGAGGTCAATCTTGGTGAACAAACATGAGGAACCCTAAGCTTCAGCTGAGGTATAAACATTTCCTTCCTAAGTTTCTATCAAGCCGGTTTGCACACTACTCACCTAAGCAAGTTTGTTAGTAAAGCCTTTTTAGATTTTACCTCCTCAGGTTTCTCCTGCATTAGCAGGAACCGGGGCTTTTCCTTGGGATTAGAAACTCCTCTGATGGCCAGTGCTGCTGAGTGGGCTTCCGACTGGCCCACCTGGGGAGGCCTGGGCTGGTTTGGACTGGTTTGGATTGCTGCCACCTATGGTAGGTTCTATGTGGCTCTCAAATGGAGACTGAAGGACATGCCTTTTCACCAGTAACAGCGTTAGTACACAGGCTTGCTAGTCACATTTTTCCAGCTGCACACAGGCCATTCTGTGGCTGTTTTCCAGGCATCAACGTTGGCCCTGTGGTGGCTGGAGTGATCGGAGCTCGCAGGCCCCAGTACGACATCTGGGGAAACACAGTCAATGTGGCCAGTCGAATGGACAGCACAGGGGTCCAGGGCAGAATTCAGGTAAATCACCCAGAAATCCCAAAGACACAGGTACCCATTCAGCTGGGGAGGAAATTGAAGCATCAGGGATCCTTGGGTCTGTGGTCAATAAGTGGCAGGGCAGATTAAGCTGAGTGTCTTGGCGTCTGCTGGGGACCTGGACAACACTGTTAAGCCTGACAGATTGCTTTAGCTATTTGGTTTTTCCATGCATCCTTGGGGCCACTCCTGAGTGAGCAGAAGTAAACTTGAGGATCACAATGAATCAGGAATCACTAAGTAGCCTGACAGTTTGGCTTCTCAGTGTTCTCCCTTGTTTCCAAACCATGGTCACAGCTGGGCTTGGTGGCACACTCCTTTAATCCCAGCACTTGGGAGGCAGAGGCAGGTGGATCTCTGTGTTTGAGGCCAGCCTGGTCTCCAGAGGATGTTCCTGGACAGCCAGAGCTATATAGTGAGATGCTGTCTTAAAAGCAAAAAACAACCAAACAAAAACCATGGTTCAGCTGTCATAGCAGCATATGGGGGGAAAGATGTTTCTCATGTGTTTGAAGAGCAGGATGGTGGACACACCCACTGCTTCTGAGGAGCTTCACTCAGACAGGACGAGACTCGGTGGCTGGGATATCTTCTCGGAACCACTGAAAGGTGGGCTTCTGATCCTCATCAGTGTTGGGGAATGGTCCAGCTTTTAGTATTTCCTCCTAGAATCACGCAAGACCTACCATTTAGATGTAGCCCTATGGGTTGCATGGAGCCTATAAAGGGTGCCCTGGCCTCCTGCCACTCACTAGAGAACTGCAGCCTTCCAGGGTTTTGGAGGGACATCCTTATTATTCTGGTGCATTCTCCCTGGTTTCAGGACATGTAGAAACAGGGCAGTGAACACAGGGCACTTGAGAGGTCGTGCAGGTCCCCTGCTGTGGTTAGGCCACTGTTACAGGAGGGGTTTCTGACTATATGGAGTTGTGTCCTACTGGGCATTGATCCTTCTACTTACCGTGAAGTCTCCATCACCTCACAGCACTCTGAGGTTCAAGCATGTGTCCCAGTTTCCAGTTCCAGCACCAAGTTCCAACATTCCTTAGCAGCTCTTTGTTTTTGCACTGATGACATTTATTTTATTGTGGTAAAATGTATACAGAATGCACTGTCTTCACCATTGACATGCATAACCTTGTGTGCCAAGCATCCTCATAGTGGTGCAGCTACCACTGCTGTCTTGTTTATGACATGTTGTCTGTTGTCACCCTGGAGAATATGCTTACACTCCCCTACCGCCTTCCCTGGACCAGTCATTCCCAAGAAAGGCTTTCCCCCTTTAGTTACTGTAGTAAAATGTCCTGGCAAAAACAACTCAGTGGAGAAAGGGTTTATTTTTGCTCAACAGTTGTTCTACGTACAGTCCATTGTGACAGAAGTCAGGCCAGTGGGAACTTGATGGCATTATGTGCTGCAGTCAAAAGAGCAATGATGTATGGGTGCTGGTGCTAGGCTCGATTTCTCTACCTACATGGCCCAGGCTCCACCCACAATTAAGATAGATCTTCCCGTATCAATTGGCATCATCAAAATACCCCCCAGGAAATTCCAGAGACTCTCCTCCCAAGGGATTCTAGACTCTGTCCGGTTGACAACACTAACTAAACATCACCTGTATCCCTTGTCAACTCAAGGCTCATACACAAATCCCTTTTAAGACACTCTTTGGTCCCATAGGCTCAAGACCATCTTAAAGTATATTCCAACCAAAATAAAAATCCTACCTAGTCATTAATAGCAACTTCTCTGTACAGTCCAAATTTAAAGAGTTTTTACATTCTTCCAGCATACAGAGTAAAATGAGTTTATATGACACGGAGTTAAACATGCCTTTTCTTTTCTTTTTTTCTTTTCTTTCTTTTTTTTTTTTTTTTTTTTTTTTTTT